AGGGCTGGAGGTGCTGTGGTTTGGTAACCCAAGGTCAACACAAGCCACCCACCAGCACAGGAGCAGGAGATGCACAGGCTGCTCAGTGCCAGCGGGTGCAGAGAGCCCTGGTGACAGCACCCAGTGACACCGAGCCCATAGGCTTTGTGGGTGCAGGCTGCACACACAGAGCCCCAACAGGGCCACCACTACACAGCAGATCCATGGACCAGCCTTGGTCCCAAAGAAACACAGGATGGGCTCTGGGCAGCCCTGCCAGCACCTCCTGCCTGCTTCCCCCTTCTCCTTGGGAGCAGTAATGAATCAGGCACAGTGGGTGACATGGCAGAGGGCATCCTGCAGGCAGAAGTGCTGCCAGATGGTGGCAGAGCTCCCCGGGTCACACCACCACCAGCGGGACTTTGCTCCTGGCATGAACCTGGGAGGAACCCACCTGAATCCATCCCTACAAGGGATGCAGGCATAGGACAAGGGGAATGGGTTCAAACTGAAACAGGGGAGACTGAGCTGAGCTCTTAGGCAGAAGCTCCTCCCTGGGAGGGTGCTGAGGCGCTGGCACAGGGTGCCCAGAGAAGCTGTGGCTGCCCCATCCCTGGCAGTGTTCAAGGCCAGGTTGGACACAGGGGCTTGGAGCAAGCTGCTCTATGGAAGGGGTCCCTGCCCGTGGCAGAGGTTGGAGCTGGAGGAGCTTTAAGCTCCTTTCCAACACAAACCAGTGCATGGCTCTCTGAATTACCAGGAGAGAAAAGCCAGACACGTGGAGGGAGGCTGCTCACTCTCCGCCCCAACCCTCCAGCTGCAGTGTTGTGGTGGGTCAGGGCTGTCATCAGTCCCCTGCTCCACACAGCAACACAGACCCATCACCATCAGCGTCCACAGGCTTCAAGCTCAACCCAGGCAACTGCCACCATGCCCAGCTCAGCACCAGCATGATTTCTGGGAGACAGACAGCAGGATTAGTGCTGCTGCTGCCACCAAAGCTCATGGGATTGCTGCAGTGCTACAGCCAGCAGTGGTGCAGTGCCTGCTCAGGAGATGCAGGGCTGGGAGCTCTGTACAGAAAACACCCCAAACCAAAGCCAGAACACAAGCCAAGAGATGGGATAAATAAAGGAAGCTGTAGGAAAGCTGCCAAGGAGCGAGCTCCCGTTACCGCCGTATCACCAGAGACAAGAGATCACTTCCCAGCAAGAGGGGAACCCCAGGATCTCCAAAATCCCTTTCATAGGGAATCTCGCAGGCAAACAACTGCTGGAAGCTGCTTTTCCAGCCCTGGCACAAGGCAGCGAGGGGATGGGCTCCGTGAATTGCCGGAAGGGGCCAATAAACAGCGCGATGGAGCGGGAGCCGCGCTGAGGCACTCACCCTGTGTCACTGCCTGAGCAGATCCCAGGCACAGCAGCCCCTGTCCCTTAGCAGCTCCCAGCCCTCACCAGCTCTCCGGGGTGTGGGCACACACCTCTGGAAGCTTCCCCTGGAGGTCTGTGCTTTGCAAAGCAATCAGCTTCCTGGGGCAATGCAGTGCAGGGAGCCGGAGGGACCACTCCCCATGGGATGGGAGGGTCAGGCTGGGGATGAGCTGGGTGAGACATATCCCCAAGGGGGGGAAATAAGGGAGGGAGGTCCAAGGAGCCCAGAGACCCCGGCAAAGCTGAGGCAGACACATGCGGCAGCAGCTTTCACACACACGGTTCCAAAGCTGCACATCCTGCCCTGCAGCGGTGCTGGTGTGCAGGGTCCAGCACTCACTGCGAAGCAGCTCAGCACCAGAGGTGCATCCATGAATGGCATAAGAAGCTCCTGACCAGTGAGTCCCTGAGCCTTGCAGGGAGCAGGGCCTGCAGCAGCCTGTACAGTGCAGTGATTCCTGCAGGAAAGGGGGTAACACAACCAGTGCTTCCCGCTGCTCCTGGTTTGCAGGAGCAGCAGGTTCCAGTTCCCCAGTGCAGAGAAGCTGATTTCAGCCCAGAAACAGGCATCCTCAGGGAAGGAGGGTCAGGAAACGCAGCCCATGGGGACACTGATGAAGAGGTTTTCAAGTGAAAACCAGAAAATAGGAAATCAAAAGATTCCTCCCACTTTGTTTTGGTGAACCCTTGAGTTTTGGTGACCATGCTTCCCAGCTGCACATGGTGGTGGCAACTCCTTCAGCATCCAGTCACAGTTGTTCTAAGTCTTCCAGTGCATAAAAGAGTTACAGAAAACCTGGAGAAGGGCTTGGACAAGGGCCTTTAACCTTAAATGGCTTTAATCTGCCCGAGGGGAGACTGAGCTGAGCTCTTAGGCAGAAGCTCTTCCCTGGGAGGGTGCTGAGGCGCTGGCACAGGGTGCCCAGAGAAGCTGTGGCTGCCCCATCCCTGGCAGTGCTCAAGGCCAGGTTGGACACAGGGGCTTGGAGCAAGCTGCTCTATGGAAGGGGTCCCTGCCTGTGGCAGGGGTTGGAGCTGGGTGACCTTGGGGTCCTTTCCAACCCAAACCGTTCCATGATTCCATGACTATTTCACAACCAAGCAACAGTCAGACCCCCCACCACCAGCCAAAGCCCCCTCAGCACCCAGCACTGAGAGAAGAAGGAAAGTGTCTGTACCTCGGGACTTACTGTGTGCTTCTTCGTCATCCTCCAGAGGATGCAGGTCAGCAGCATGTGGCCCAGAGCTGAGGTGATGAACACGATGAAGGCGTTTTCATGGATTGCTGCACCAACAAGACAAGAGCTTTCCTGTTAAATCTGAGAGCAGCACAAGGGGGGCACGGGGTAGGCGTTGGGAGGGCGAGGGATCCTCTGCCTTCTGCAGGACATGGTCCTGCTGGCAGCTCCAACACCCAGGAGATGCTGTGGCCCAGGACCTGGGTCTGTGCAGAAGGTAGGAACAGCAGAGGAGGGAAAAGGGAATTTAGGGACAAAGCAGCTTGTGAATTGCACCCCTGGAATCCTGGGGCTGGAGTGGGATGTGTGTTGCTATCACACTTATCCCAAAGGTGCCAGGAGGGTGTTTTCATGCTCTGGCACCTGGTCTCCACTGCTTCACACTGTTGTATACTCAGGCAGCTGCCAAAGCAGCTCAGCATCAGCACTACTGCTCTAGGGATGGGGAACTGAGGCAGGGAGGGGGGTTTGCAGAGTGAGCAAGTCCAAGACCCAGGAAGGGCCATCTTCTGGCCTCCTTCGTTATCCACGGGCTATTAGGAGCTGTCATCAGCCTCCCCATCAGCCTTGGGGCTGCCTTCTGCATCACTGCATGGCGCAGACACAGGCTCAGGCTGGAAAGGCAGCAGGAGCTCCCAAAAGCCCCACACAAACCCATGCCACTTCAGGTGAGCTGTTTTCACATGTGTGCTCTATTTAAGAATGTTCTGCCTGTTCTCCAGGAACTGAACCTCAGGCTGAATTCCCAACCACCTGAATGTAAGAAACGATCTCCCCTGATTCCAGAGGAAGGGAAACGCCATGAGGAGCAATGGGAAAGGCAACTGTTAGAGGTGAAGATGTGAGCCAGTCCCTGCAGAGATGACTAACCCGAGCCCGGTCTCATCCTGGCACATAAGCCAAGAGTTGAAACTTATCCTCCAGACATGAGACTGGTGTTTTAATACAGATCTGGGAAAACTAGGTTAAGCTCAGCTCTCCATGTGGCTTTTGTTCAGCCTGGAGAAGGCTCCAGTGTGACCTTAGAGCAGTTCCAGGGCCTAAAGGAGCTGCAGGAAAGCTGGAGAGGGGCTTTGGACAAGGGCCTGTAGGGACAAGCCAAGGGAAATGGATTGGAAGGGGCTTGGAGCAAGCTGCTCTAGAGGAAGGTGTCCCTGCCCACAGCAGGGGTTGGAACTGGAGGAGCTTTAAGGTCCCTTCCAACCCAAACCACTCTGTGCTACTCTCAGTACAGCATCAGGTGCATTCCCACCTCCACTGCTGGAGGCAGCAAACCTTCTTCTGTCAATGTCCCCTCTTGAGCTCCAAACCCTCTTCTTGGAGCTCTGCCCTGGCCTCTTTGGGAGATTTCATGACTACACCCTGCAGTGTGGTCCCACAGCCAGACCCAGTATCCATTAACATCATCAAGTGGTGCACAGGGACAGCCCAGCACAGAGCTCCCTTGCCCGCAAGTCCCCAAACATGCACTGTTTCTGCTGCAACAGCACCACCTTGCTGGCTCATGGGTTTGAGCCCTCTCCAGTCAATCCCTGGTGCCTCCTCCAGATGTCAGGGTTGAACAGCAGCTGGATATCATCACCAGCACTTAAAACTCACTTCCGATGAGACCAGGTGGGAGAAGAGCATTTCCCAGCCCGTGGTGACCATATTTCACACAGACACTTCACCTGGAAAATGCTGATTTTGTTTTCAGGTCAACACAGGAAGTTTTACCCACTTTAGGTGGGGAGACAGTATTTAAAATGCAGAGCATGGACTGGAAGCCAGCTCAGAGCCAGAATCACAGCTGAACAGCGGAGCAGGGGCAGTACTAACCTCACCTGTGGTGGGACACGTTAAGCACAGCCTTGGTGCACAAGCAGGAGCCAAGCACTTAAGTCTGAGCTTAGGCTTGACACAAAAATTGGTGAGAACTTTGGGAAGAGCACGGCTATTGGCACATTATGACACAACTTTGCTCTAAAAATACTAACCTTAATACAATTTCTTCTCTTCTTAGCCGTTTTTCCTCCAAACTGACCACTTCCAAAGTACTTGTGTGAGTTACAGAATTATAGAATAGTTAGGGTTGGAAAGGACCTTAAGATCATCCAGTTCCAACCCCCTGCCATTGGCATGAACACCCCACACTAAACCATGGCACCCAAGGCTCTGTCCAACCTGGCCTTGAGCACTGCCAGGGATGGAGCATTCACAGCTTCCCTGGGCAACCCATTCCAGTGCCTCAGCACCCTCACAGTAAAAAACTTCTTCCTCATCTCTAAGCTGAACTTGCCCTGTCCCTGCTGGGTGAAGCAGAGCTCTGCAGAGCCGCGGCAGCCCCTGCTCAGAGGCTGGAGGTGACTCCTACCATAGTTCTCAGAGGAGGACACGTAGGTGAGGATGAGGAGGGCGAAGTTCTCGAGCAGGTTCAGCAGCAGGTTGCAGTGGCAGAGGCGCAGGTAGCGCGGGTGGGAGCAGTGGCAGCTCTGGTAGTGGTTCCAGTAGGCGATGGCCACCAGGAAGCGGGGGGCCGAGTGCAGGCCGATGCAGAGGCGCCAGACGTAGCGCTGCGGGGTCTCGCCTCCGATGGCCGCGCTGATGGAGGGCAGGTAGTTGGGGACCTGCAGGAGACACAGAGCTCGTGGGGAGGGACACAGGTTTGCATCCTGCTGCCATGGAGCCACGGCATCAACCAGGGTGGGAAGGAGCTTCAGGACCATCTTGCCCCAAGGCCACCACTGCCCCATGGCACTGAGGCCTCGTCTCCACGGGGTGTGAACCCTCGCAGGGCCGGTGCCTGCAGCCCTGCCCTGGGCAGCCTGTTCCAATGCCTGAGCACCCTCTGGGGCAGGAATTGTTCCTCAGCTCCATCTAAACCTGCCCTGGTGCAGCTTTTTTTCCCTAAGTTTATTCCCATTTCAAAGCTAGGGAATGCAACATGGCAGGAGGCTTGGTTCAGCCCCCAGCCCTGCTGGGACAGTCCCTGGGTGCTGGGGTGCCCCTCTCAGGGTCTTCTTGTGTTTCTTAGCTTTATAATTGATCTTTATGCCTTCCCTTTGCTCAGTCGTAGTCTTCCACATGTTCTCTGACTCAAAAGTTTGGGGAGAGAACTGACACCAGCAGCAAAGAGCGGCCAGCGAGGAGCCCAGGCAGAACCGTGCACCCCCGTGTCCTGCAGAAAGGTGTTCCCCACAGGAGCTGCTCTCCAGTCATCCAACGGGAGCTGGTTCCTCAAGCAGAACCTGCCACCTCCCTCCCCTGCCCTGTACTTCCTCATACTGGCAGAGGGTGAGCACTGAATCCCTGCCCTCTCCAAGCAACCACACCTCGGTACCCCCCCTCCCTGCTCTCTTCCCACCACCTCTTCCCATGCAGAGCTGGAGATCCCTCACTTCGCCACCATGGAATAGGAGCTGCAGAACACCTCTGAGCCTCCTCCTCGCCCTGCCCAACAAGCTGAGTTGTGAGGGGGGCACAGAACCACACACTGGGTGGGCACATTACTCACGGCTCCAAATCTCCAGCCAAACGGCCCTGGTGCTTCCCTGCTCCATCACCCCCACAGCAGCCTGTCTCACCATCCCTGCTTTAGGAACTCAGCATCGGGGGCTTTCAACTGGATGATCTTAAGGTCCTTTCCAACTCAAACCATTCTATGATCACCATCAGCCTGTGTCACCCCACTATGTAGGAGGAACACAGACCCCATAAAGCCCTGGGGTCACCTCCTGTAGTGTGACAAGGACTCCTGCCCCCTGTTTCAGCTTGTAACCAGCTGTTCATCCACCGCTGTGCTGAGGAGGAACCTGATCCCATCCCTTCTGGAAACCCAGGCGGTCCCTCTCAAGCTGCACTCCCCAGGTACGTGCTTGTGACTCCGCTGATGAGCTCCAGCAGATCTGAGGGGCAGCAATTCCTTCTCCGAAAGCTGGGCTAACCCCTCCTCAGGACACTGGGTCTGTCTGCAGCTTCATCACTTTTACTCCTCGCCCCCACCACCACTGTGCCCAGCAGACACCAGGCTGCACCCCCTAAGCCCCTTTATAAAGCCAAAACCTCAGCTGCCAGACCCAAAGCACTACAAACACACCAAAATAAAGCGGCTTCTTGAAGACCCTGTAGCACCTGTGGTGGGAAAGCAGAGGAGGAGAGAGGAGCGCTGCCAGCCCCGGCTGTCCCAGCGCAGCGCGAGGACTCGGCCCCATCCGGGTAAGGACTCACTTACCCCGCAGTGAGTCGCTGTCGTCTCCCGAAAATGGAAGAGCAGAGACCAGATGACACAGAACAGGAACCCAAAGAGGGGGCAGAACACAGTCGCCAGAGCCAGCGTGGTGAAGCGGAGCCGGAAGAGGATCCCATCGCGGTCCAGGGGCAGTGGCACCTGCAGCATCTTGATGGGCCTGGAAATGAACCAACCAGAGGGATCATAGAAGGGGTTGGGCTGAAGGGACCTTAAAGCTCCTCCAGCTCCAACCCCTGCCCCGGACAGGGACCCCTTCCATAGAGCAGCTTGCTCCAAGCCCCTGTGTCCAACCTGGCCTTGAGCACTGCCAGGGATGGGGCAGCCACAGCTTCTCTGGGCACCCTGTGCCAGCGCCTCAGCACCCTCACAGGGAAGAGCTTCTGCCTAAGAGCTCAGCTCAGTCTCCCCTCGGGCAGGTTAAAGCCATTCCCCTTGGCCTGGCCCTACATCCCTTGTCCCAAGCCCCTCTCCAGCTTTCCTGCAGCCCCTTCAGGCACTGGAGCTGCTCTCAGGTCTCCCCTTCAGGAGCCTTCTCTTCTCCAGGCTGCCCCAGCCCCGCTCTAGAGCAGAGCTTGATGGGGATTTTCTGTCCTGCACGGCCCAGCCCCAACAGCCCTGGGCAGTGCTGCGCACAGGAGGCTGGCAGAGGCTGCCTCTCACACCCATGTTTAACAGCCACAGAGCCCCAGGGCAGGGATCAAGGACAGGCAGCTGACAGCACCCTTCCGGGAGGCAGGAGGAGAGCACAACCATGAGCAGGGGCCGCAAGCAGGACTGGAGCAGTGTCCCGCAGGCAGCAGGGAGGAGCTGTCAGTGGGATGCACAAGCAGTGGGACATCACACATGATGCTGCAGACAGCAAGAGTGATGTGGCTGGAGACACGTGAGCTCTTTCCAGCAGTGTCCATCATTCCAGACCATTCCTCTTTATCCAGGCCATTCCCGGGCTCTGCTCAGACCTGCTATACAGGACCAGTGCTGACAGAGTGAGGGTAGCATGTGCTGTGTGCTGCAGCTCCTCAGCACATCCCCAACCTCCCACAGCACCATCTCACCACAGCCAGCACGGAGCCAGCCGAGCGCTCAGCACCTTCACAGGTCCAGATACAGAGACCTGGACTCGCTCCAGCAGCTCCACAGGAGGGCACGGAGCTGCTGCGAGGGCTGGAGCAGCTCTGCTCTGGAGCCAGGCTGAGAGAGCTGGGCTGGGGCAGCCTGGAGAAGAGAAGGCTCCTGAAGGGGAGACCTGAGAGCAGCTCCAGTGCCTAAAGGGGCTGCAGGAAAGGTGGAGAGGGGCTTGGAGCAAGCTCCTCCAGTGGAAGTCGTCCCTACCTGTGGCAGGAGGTTGAGACTGGAGGAGCTTTAAGGTTCCCTCCAACCCAAATCAGGACCTTGCAAGCCCCACACCTTGCACAATGATAAAGCTGCTGATCACAGGCTGGGCAAGCTGGGGCAAGTGGTTTATCAAGGCTAGAGCCTGCCTCCAGCTCGGGCTCTCTATCCTCATCCCAACATCCTCTGCTGCTCCCCTGCCCTCTGTAACGGCTGTGCACCCTGTGCCCTTCCCTCATGCCCTCAGGCACAGCCCAGCTCCCTCTGGAACACCGCGATCAAAGGCAGTGTCCTGAACATCACACACGTCTTCTGAGCTCATACTGACCCTTCTGCTCCCAGCACGTTCCCCCACCCAGGACAAGGGCCACGGAGCAGCCCAAGTGAGGGGCTGTGGTGTCCTCTGAGCGGGCACAGATCCATATCTCACCTTATGCCCACCTGAGGATGTCTCCATTGCTGAGGCTGCAGGACAAATCCACTTACAGCTAAGCCCTGTGGAAGGCAGGGAGCAGCAAGGGCAGGAGCCTTGGCAGCACAGCCTGCCCCCCCATTGCATCCTTCACACCAGTAACAGTCACGGAGCTCATCTCAGTCTCCCCTCGGGCAGGTTAAAGCCATTCCCCTTGGCCTGTCCCTACAGACCCTTGTCCAAAGCCCCTCTCCAGCTTTTCTGGAGCCCCTTTAGGGAAGTGGCCTTCTCTTCTGCAGGCTGGACCAGCCCAGCCCTCTCAGCCTGGCTCCAGCCCTTGGATCCACTCACACAACCTGCAGCCACCGTCACAGCCCTGGGCATTATCATCACATTGGAACTCTCAAACATAACACACCCCATAACCAGCACAAAACACCGACCTCAACCTCTCCTCACATTGGGGCACTTCAGCCCCTTAACCCACCCTTTCAGCTCTACAAACCTTCTGAACAGTGGGCAAGAAATCACTTCACATCGAACTGACTTACCCTGATACAGGAAACACACTGTGCCCTGGGGACTGCTTGGGGGGCACACACACACTGTGCCCTGGGGACTGCTTGGGGGGCACACACACACTGTGCCACGGGGACTGCTTGGGCGCACACACACTGTGCCATGGGGACTATTTGGGGGCACACACACTGTGCCATGGGGACTGCTGGGGGCACACACATTGTGCCATGGGGACTGCTGGGGGCACACACACACACACTGTGCCATGGGGACTGCTGGGGGCACACACACACACTGTGCCATGGGGACTGCTGGGGGCACACACACACTGTGCCATGGGGACTGCTGGGGGCACACACACACACTGTGCCATGGGGACTGCTGGGAGCACACACACACTGTGCCATGGGGACTGCTGGGGGCACACACACACTGTGCCATGGGGACTGCTGGGGGCACACACACACACTGTGCCATGGGGGACTGCTGGGAGCACACACATTGTGCCATGGGGACTGCTTGGGGGGGCACACACACACACTGTGCCATGGGGACTGCTGGGGGCACACACACTGTGCCATGGGGACTGCTGGGGGCACACACACTGTGCCACGGGGACTGCATGGGGGCACACACACTGTGCCATGGGGACTATTTGGGACACACACATTGTGCCATGGGGACTGCTGGGGGCACACACACACACTGTGCCATGGGGACTGCTGGGGGCACACACACACACTGTGCCATGGGGACTGCTTGGGGGCACACACACACTGTGCCATGGGGACTGCTGGGGGCACACACACACTGTGCCATGGGGACTGCTGGGGGCACACACACACTGTGCCATGGGGACTATTTGGGAACACACACACTGTGCCATGGGGGACTGCTGGGGGCACACACACACTGTGCCATGGGGACTGCTGGGGGCACACACACACTGTGCCATGGGGACTATCTGGGGACACACACACACACACTGTGCTTGGGGGGGGAGGGCACAAGCAGTGTCCCCCCACCCCACAACGGCAGCCCCCGACCAGCTCTCTCAAGGATCCTACCCAAAGGCGCAGTCTCTTTGCAGCAGACACTGAGTGGCCCCGGGGCTGCCCTGAACCACAGGGTCCAGCACCCCCGAGACCCCTCCCCGGGTACCCCCATCTCCCATTGATACCCCCCCACACACACACACACAGACCCCTGCCTACCTCACATCGCCACCAGACACAGCGAGCCCCCGGGCACCCCAGAGCGCTCCGACACCCCCTGGGAACCACAGAGTGCCCCGAGGAGCCCGACCGCAACTCCCCAGTGACCCCTCCGGGGGCGCAGCCGCCGCCGCCCCGTCCGGCCTCGCTGCCCAGACCCCGCAGTAACCACAGAGCCCCGGAGCGCCCCCAGGCACCCCACACCCGGACCCGGAGCCCTCGCAGCGCTGTGACCCCACGGACGCTCCCTCTGCCTGAGGCCCCCCGGAGCAGCAGCCGGAGCCGCCCCCGCCCCTCGCCGCGCTCCCCAGCCCCCGCCGCCCCCCGGGTCGGGCCCCGCTCCGGTCCCGGCCCCCCCTCACGCACCGAGCCGCGCGCGCCGCCTCACGACCCCTTTAAGGCTGCGGGCCCCGCCCCCTACGCAGGCGCCGCAGCTAGCTCCGATTGGCCCTGCCGGGAGAAGCCCCGCCCACGAACGCCCCGGATGTTGGGCGGGGCTGCGATGCGGCGTTCTGGACCCTTCCGCAGCACGAGCCTCGCCCCCTCCATGCGTCACACCAATCAGCGCTCAGGGCGCGGCAGACGTAATGCGCCCTTTCAGCCAGTCAGCGCCAAGCTTTCTCTGTTCCCCCCGGGGAGGGCGGGGGAGCAGCCTCGCTCCTGAAGGGCGGCAGCCAATGGGCGCTGAGCGCGCGGGGGACGCTGGGAGGCGCGGAGCGGGCTGTGACGCAGCTTCCCCTGCGTGAGGCGGCGGCACCGCGGGAGCGGCGAGGCCCGGCCCGGCCCGGCCCGGGGGGTCCCGCGGGTGAGCCCCGGGGATGGAGGGGGGGGGCAACGGTCCCGGGGCTGCGGGGGGCTCCGGGCCCGGCCCGGGGGAGGGCGCGGACGGGGGGGGGGGGGGGCGTGGCTCGGCCCGCGCTGAGGGGCCCGGCATGGGGAGGCTGCTGCGGGGCCCCGTCTGTGCGTGAGAAACCGGCGCTGGCGCTGTCGGGTCCCCGTTGGAGGTGCGGGGGGAGTTAACGGCGGTGCCGGTGGCTCCGGGCTGACCGGACCCGTCCGCAGGGCGCCTGCCCCCCAGGCCCGCCGTCGGGAGTGGGGTTTGACTGGAGTTAACTCGGGTCCCTTCGGTGTGGCTGGGGCTTTGTACGGTGTGAAGTGCCCTCAGACCCGCGGGAGCGGGGGGAGCTCCTCTCCGACCGGGGGTGGTGCTCAGCGGGGGGCCGGGATGTGGAGGAGCCCATCTCCTGCTCACCCTGCTGTAACTGGGGCTCGGTTCCTGCCTGCCGCCGGTGTTCCTGCGGCCGGGAGCTCCGGGTGTGCTCCCGTGCCGCGGCTCACGGCACACGTTTGGTTTAACACAAGGTTTGACGCGTGCAGGCGGGAGCCCGGTGTCTGCGTGCACCGTCCCCCGGGGGAAGGGTGCTCTTCTGGGCCCCCGGCACCAGTGACCACGTAAAGCCCAAGCTCCAGAGGTGGTGAATCCTGCAGGAGGAGGAGACCTTAATAACTCGTTTGCCTTACCCAAAACTGCGCTTCAGGTTTCTTCTGAAACAGTTTGGCATTTAACAGTCTGCCTGTGAAGGAGCAGCGGCCTCAGTAAGGGGAGCAGTGGAAGGAGAGGGGCTGTAAGAGCTGCAAGTAAGGCTGAGAATAACGAGGCTGAACAACTGAAAGCTGTGGGGACACTTCAGGTGCCCTTCAGTGGGAGCTCCTTAG